GCACCCCTCCATGCTATCTTCCTGCCCACGACTAATGTGTCTCTCCTGAATCCCCCCTCCCGAGTGCACCACACACTCCCTCCCTAAACTAAACCCTGTCTCTTATACACATCTAGATGTGTATAAGAGACAGGCACAGGAGGACCCCGCCTTCAAAAAAAAAAAAAAAAAAAAAAATTCTGGGCTGTTCTTTTGCCCGCCCGGTTTGCCCGGGCGGCGTCCGTACTCAGGAGAAGAAGTAATTACAAAATTTGAAAATTACCGCAATCTACTACTTTGCCTTTGATCCGAAAAAAGTTCAAAAAACGAAATTAAAAAAAAAAAACGAATTTTTTGGATGATCTCGATTAGCCCTAATTGGAAATCACAGATTTCGCAATGTCTCGGATTTCGCGAATTTCCGAAATTTGCAGAATTCGCGGAATTCGCGGAAATCTCGGAATTCTGAAATTCACGGAAATTCCGAAAGCTCTATGCTTCCCTTAATACGAATTTGACTTAATCAAGGAAAAGCAATCAATCAATCAATCAATCAATCCCTCAACTAGTCAATCAATTAATCAATCAACCAATCAACCAGCTAATTAATCAATCAATCAATTAATCAGTCAATCGATCAATCAATTAATTCACCGATTGACACAATCTAGATGATAACTTCATTGGGAAGATCCTCATCTGAGAGGTCTGCTCCGGTACCAAACTGTCGCATGCCAGAGTGGCGCAGACCAGAACCAAGAACCGACCTCTCAAAAATGGAGCAATGATAGCACAACGGAAGACTGAAATACCAACAATCAGACCGAATGAATGTCCTGACACAGACTGAACATCATCATCGTCATCATCATCACACGGTGTGAGCGGCCTGGAGCCCGTACACATAGATGAGGGTGCCAGGTCCGATGCATACACGGATGAGGAGGAGGGAGGAGAGACGAAGAGGGGGAAGAGGAGGGGAGATGTTGTTAACCCAGAGCGTCGTCGATACTGATCCCAACAATAGTCCCCCACAATGGCTCTGATCAAGTGTCAAGTCCGAGTCCCACTGTCACAAA